ATTTTAAGATCTTTCCCCATACGCGCTTAGACCCCGCGTATGGGACTCCCGAAGAAATATGTTGGTGGGAAACGATTTCGCGAACCAGGCAACGTAGAAAGCTGAGACTTTGCAGGGATATTCTCCATGCACGGACGAGCTAAAGATTTTAAACTCATCTCTTTAGTTCCCCAACCACAGCCTCAAGCAGCTCCTGAACCCAAAAATCGTTAGCAACTCGGGCCTGGACCGCAATTGTATATGCAAATGAACATGGATTTTTTGAAAAACGACTGTTCGAGCAATAATTTCAATTTTTCAATGAACTGGAGATTTGCATATTTTCAAAAAATTTGCATTTGTCACTTTTTCGCAAAGCGAGCATTTACCGAAAAAACGACCGGACTTCATGCAAAAACCACATCCAGGTAATCATTTATCTGGATGTGGTTCTATAATGCACCACCTTCATCCCAACTGGCGCCCTTCCTCCTGCATATTGGAAGGGGCCAAAGCACGACTAATATGAGCCCAAGTGTTAGGCTACAGTGTAGGGATCATTCTTGCTAATAGCGATCTGCGAGTTTAGTGCAAAAACGCATGATCGCACCGGCGAGCCTGGTGCGTTCCAGCCTGGGTTTTCTCTGCTACCCAACCAGTCCATGCTCTTTTCTGTCCTTCTTTTATTCTAGAATTTATTTCCTTTCTACTTTTTAAAATTTTAACCTGTTATAGCTGTTTGCTTGGAAAATATATTTTACTTTATACGTTTATTATATTACTACAGTCGTCGTACTGATGAGATTCGATTACGGTGCTGAATGGGAATGCATATATCTTGATGAACTGGGACGTTTCTGTTTATCTAATTTTTTAATGCATATATATACATATATATCTATATATAATGTATGTATAACACATATATATCAGAGTTAATATCGCCCTCCTTTAGCAAGAGAGCAGTGTTATTTGTCAGCGCACTATACCCACCAACTTTATACATTTCAAATACTGCGAAAAATCTGATGGACGTCGCATATCACTAATTGA